ACAAATTGGCTCTAATAACGACTTGATTGCTAAATGCAATTACAGCTGATAGAGAGAATAGGCGCTGTACGCGCTTTTACATATTGTATTGTGCGGCGGGAAATATTAAGGAACGAGACGCGCGAGGAGAACGCCGAATAGGAAGTCGATAATTGCAGCGTGACTATCGGCTTCTTCAGCCGCGTAGGTATTCCTGAGAACGGAACGAATCTGTGTCTACACGCGTCCCGCACGTAGGAAATGCGTGTACGCACATGCGTGCGTCCGCTGACAGGGCTTGTTCGAATGCGAACGTGAACTGCATTCCACGATAATTTTAAATGCTCTTGTCGCTGCGCGCTTGCTTCGATTCCGATGACTTAAGTGAGCTCTTGACTTGCCCGAGAGATCGAAGATGTGCATTTATATTTCGCACGTATTTATATTTTTATGTCTTATCTGTAAAGCAGCGGTTTTAATTATGAATAGAAATTTAAGACAAAGTATCTATAAAAGTCTTTCGAAGCTGTATGCCTTTAATACTCGTACGAGTGTTGAAGCTTCATCTTCGAATAAATTCTCTTTGCATTCGCGGGATTTTCAGGGTCGTATGCGGATGAGGAAAGACGCAATTAATGTTGGAAAACTGTCGTCGTGGATGCTCGTCCTCTCCCGCTAATCTTTCGTTCGCGCACTGTCGACGCGGAAATTACATACCTCGAATCCATCAATTCTACGTACTCCAACTTCTCTCTGCCTGCTGCTTCCGCAATCAACGCCTACGTCACGTTCAATGATACGAATGTTTCGCTCGCGCTTTGTGTCGCGGTCAATAATTTTGAGTTATTGAATTCTTTAATTGACTGGGAAATTTTCCAAAACAGCTATCAATCATATTCAACGAATGGAGATCCTTCATTCTCGAGAGATCCATTCAGAGATCCTGCTTCAGAATGTTATCTATTATTTCCGAGACGTATTGTTTGTTTAAGAAAAACAAATCATCTGCCGCATGTTTTGTCGATCGTGATGCGCTATTGTATGCCATGATCTTTAAGTTACGTAACACGTACATCTTTCATATTGCAACAGCATACGTTATCGTAGTTGATTCTGCATCGCAAACAATTTTTCGAGTAACACGACACTGGAATAATTTGACAAAAAACTCAACTTTCCGCCGTTGATGGAATAATCTCGGACGTCACGAAAGATATTGTAAATTATAGCTCGAGCGTGATGGAATTGATCAACGGAGATTCGTTATCAATGTTATATTATATAGCGAAAAAAAAAGACTTCTACGGTTGTATTCTTAAATATCTCAAACGTACCGAATACCTCGAGATAATTTAGATATCCCAATTACATAATAATTTGAAAATTTGCACAATTTAATTGGTACATCTGTATCTGGTAGAAAGTTTGAAGTGATTCGATTATTCCGAGTGTTTACAGTTCCGTTCCACGCTTGGCGCGCTCGCGACGATTACGCGGCTGAAGATCGCGATTTCACGCCCGTGCGCGCGATCCGCGCGCGTTTTGCCCGAGCGTCATTACGAAAAATGAAAGTGCAAATCGAAGCGCAGGAGAGAAGTCACGGGGGGGGAGGGACCCCCGTTCGTCTTGGCTGCGTAACACGGTTGCACCGATATCGCGCGATTCCCGCGATATATCCGCAGCCACCTAGCTCGTATTTCCTATTACAGCGAATTCGAGAGATATGATTTCGCCTCGACATTTATCAAGTGGGCGTACGTGCGTGCGTACGAACGAACGAACGAACGAACGAACGAACGAACGCGTTTTTTCCACAACGCACCTTTTACGCTCGCTCTCATGAGGGCGTATCGCGGCCACCCGCGCCGTCGCTTCGCCTCGATCAATCGCGCAAATTCCAGTCAAATTACGCGTCATAATTATTTTCTCACGTAATAGAGAACACGACGGCGAGTCACCGACGCGCATTTATTTTTACGATATCGGCACCCGACCGACCGTTATTATGTAAAGTGAATGTGCACACGTGTACCGCGCGTGTGTGTATATGTAATCGTCGTCCCGTTACCGTGCGATCGCGCACACCGTGCACAATGCGCACGATCGAGATCTCCGCGCGGGAGATGTTGATTTCGCGGAAACTCGCGAGAGAGGAGGTTCGCGCCGAGTACGTCGACTCGCGGGAATCCGTTTTGCCGCCGTGGTAGCGTTGGGTTTTTTTAAATATTCCTCCCCATACAATTTTATCCAGCGTCAATCGCGAGCGCGTGTCGCTGATGCGATGACGGCTTCAAATTCTTTTTCTTCTATCTATGTATATGTCGGACATGCGTGCGAATCGAGAGATACTTTCCCTACTTTCGCGCGCGTCCATGAGCGGCTATCGTCCGAGACGGTCCGAGGCGGCTTCTAGTAGCGATTGGGCATTGTCCGAGACGGCCGTTGCTGTTGCCGTAGTCGCCGTCGGTGAAACCGAAACTCCGAGAAAGTTTCCAAAAAGATCGACGAGACGCGTGAAAATCACGCAGATCTGCGATCGTGAGAAATCGTGCCTGTAAAACTCGTCTGGTGGCATATGCAGCCGAGAAGCGGAAATGGGGAACCAAAACAATAATTGTGCAACCGAACCTTTCGGTATTTGATTGTATAATGAATGAGGCGACGAACGCGGCGCGCGGAAAGAGAGAAAGATAGAGATTTAAAAAAGGCAAAAAAAACCGGTTTTCCGCTTGGACGCTGAATCACACCTGAAACCTGTCCGCGCGTTTAATACACCCGCCGATTTGACGCACTTACCCGCGAATGCGCAAAACGCCATAGCGCCATAACACGGTGTAGTTTTGTTTTGGAATTACCGCGTTTTATTGCGCCGCGCGAATGACGCACGAAAATCCCGAATGTTTGAACGCAACATTTCGGCGAATTTCACGGAGTCGGTTTCGAACGCAAAATACAAAATTATTGATTTACAGCAACCAAGTTTTTAATCGGTCATTGATAATTGCTTCGATCGAGGAGAGATCGTATGTTTAAAATTGAAGCACATTTTTTTTGTCGCATATAAGTTGTTTACTCGAGTTTGGAAAATATCATTGTTTTGCAAAAACAAGAAAAATTCCTAGAAACTTTCAAGACGTTTAAAGATTATTTTTAAACCTATGCTAATTATCCGTAGGTGTAACGGACGCTTTAAAAGTTACTGGAGGATATTTATAGCGAATTGTTTTACTGCTCACTTCGCGAATCTCGTTAAAAATCTCGTTAATGTTTCTTTACGCATAATGATTTGTGGCCGTGGATTTTCCGACGTAAAACAAAGACAAGGAAAACATGAGAGCCAGCAAAAATGTGTAAGAAAAAGGGAAATGATTTATGATCTCGCGTTTACGCGGTCACGCACCTTTTGCGTCGTACATACGCGGAACGGCCCTCGTGATTTCGCAATTCGGCATTATTTTCTTACAAACGGTAGTTGAATGCGCGCGCTCGCTGTGATATAGCGTGTGCGCTCATAAAGGATCGACACACCGGTGTATGGCGTCCGCTTGTGTGTATACGCACGCGGGGTCACGCTCGTGTTGCGAATGTTTCGCATTTACACGGCGTAGAAGTGCGCGTGCATCCTGTCGCGAGGAGCCTCGCCCTGAATTTCACTTGTTGGCCTCTGTAAAATTCTCGGGAAGGACACTCGTGGATTTTTTTTTTTGCGCGACTTAACGATATCACGCGTGGGAGAGAGAAAGAGATCTCGGCCGGGGTGAGAAAATTTTATTTTAATTGCGACGGGAAAAATTCGCGTTTTTTAATTGGCGTAGTGCGTGATCCGGCTAGCTGCGAAACCGCCGTCGAATCGCGCTGATCGCGCAGAAAAACCGGGTGCACTCTGAACGGAGTCCAGACTCCGATGACGCGAAAGTGACGGCTATGTTTATTCGCGGCAATTGGCGCACGGTTCATTCTCCCGTATCTATAGCGCAGCCGGGAATTGAATTCGACGAGATTACGTGCAGCTAAAGGTTTCAGTCCGTGCTCGGCCTCGCGTAACAATTTCGCACCGACGGGCTATGAATAGAAAATGGAGTGTAACTATCGTTCGGCCGATTGTTCCGAGACGATCATCACGCCGCGCGCGGCGCCGGTTATCCTCTTATCTATTTAGCGCGAAGGGACGGGAGATGGATCTTGGTCGTATATATAAGAATACGGTGTCTTAGTCTTTCTTTCTCCTCCCTCTGTCTCTTTCTCTCTCTCTCGCGCGCTCTCTTTCTTTGCTTTGCCCCGTCCCTCCCTCACTCGCCTCCTTCTCTTCCTTCTCCCTGTAACAACCTGCTGCAGCCCGCGATGGAGGACGGACGAGCTCTCGGGCGGCCGTGGCTGGTACCGCCATCCTCTCCTATCCCTTCTCATTCTATCGGATCATCTACCATCAACGATCGCGGCTCGCTACTCCATTCTGCGAAGAGACCCGGCGCGACAGCTCTCGGCCGACCAGTCCCACTCGATCTCTCTCCTTCTTGTTCCCGCTCTCTGTACAAGTATCCCGGAGATACGAATTTCTACGGTCTATCTCGCGATCCCCTTCTTTCTCCTCCTGTCTCTCTCCCCGCGTATACCGTTTTCCTCGCATTTCTCATCGCAGATGGAAATTTCATTACTAGCGGCAGAAGGAGCCGCCGCCACCGCCGCCGCCGCCGTCGCCGTCGTGGTGCATTCCCCGCGAGTAATCGCTCAATCTGCCGCTCGTTTGAAATTTTTTCCTTCCTTCCAGCGCGAGAGTAGATAACCAACGTGGGTCGTGGGGGGGAATAGGTTGGATGGATGAGGACGGGCCGTGGCCCGACCGACCGACCGACCGTGGCTGGTACCGCCACCCAATATCAGCCTCCGTTTCACCGAATAATCCTACCTAGCGGCGGGCGATTCGACTCCCACGACCAGCTGCTTCGAGGATCGGCCGCGCTCGTTCGCGTTCGGCTCGCCTCTCCGCGCGTCGCGCGTCACGCTTGCGTTTCGCTCGGCTCGGCGCCGCGCTCACTTCAGTTCGCCGCGAGCCGTCGGTCGGGTTGTGTTGTTTCTGCAGCTTCTTCTCTCTCCTCCGAGTCGGCTTCCCCGAGTCGTTTCCCCAGAGCTCCGATTTCCTGCGCGAAGTTTGGGAATGTATCCCGCGCGGTCTCGTTGAATGTCAGTGAGTCGTTCGCACGAGCAGAAACAACAGGTGAGCGACCTTTGCAAGCGGCGCGACTCGATTAATAATATCTTTTTTGACAACGAGATTTAATATCGCGAATGTCTTCCGAGCGATGGAAATGGATAGGAATGTATATTTTCATTTAGCTTTCACTACCTCGCAACTTTGTGTACCGTGTTTCTATAATTAAAAGAACCGATTATCTGTAACGTGGATGGCAATATTTACATCTCTGTATAAACATACACAGGATCGTTATGTAATTTATGTAATATAAACACCTATGAAAAGTTTACCATTGCATGTCGAGCCGCGTGAAACCGATGTCAAAAGATTATTGTTTCAATAACGCAGTGATTACGACGTCGGCTGCCGAGTTATCGACATCCGGCTTGTTCGCGTTGCAGCGCGAGATAGTCGGACGCACGTCATTCGCACGTGCGAAATCTCGTTGATTAGATTTAATTACGGAGGCGTAGCGCTCCCATCGGTGCAGCGTGCATGCCGATTCGAAAGTCATCGACACGAATGCGAGCGTGCGCGCGGTGCTTCGGTCCCTTCGTCCGTAACCGCCGAACTGATGGCGAAGCTAATTTCACGACACGAGATTTACAATTAACGTGCTAATTGTCCGCCGTCCGCGCTCCCCGTGAAATCGCTCGGAAAAGCCTCTCGGGCCGGACCTGGAGAACGTTAGATATAAAATGGGTTACTCCGTTCTCCGCGCGAGTGAAAACGCGGCGCGCGGCCGCGATCGGGCCTCTCCGACGCGAATAGAATCACTTTCTTACGTTCGCGCGCGAGCCTGATCGCACGAGCGATCGTGTGCGAGCGCGGGATCCCGCCGGCGGCGACGGCGACGCGGGGAAACGAAATCGTAAACGGAGACGGCGAGACTTCGCTTGGCGAAGCGGCGCAGCGCGGCGGCGGCGGCAGCATGGCTTTTCAGTGAAATCCGTAAATTACGGGCGGGCGCTCCACTTTTTCCTTTAGGCGCCTCGCCGCGCCGCGCCGCGCCGTTTCGTCGATTACTTACTTTCTTACGTCGAGCAGCACGCTCGAGGGCCTCCGAACCGGGATCGATCTTCGATTCGCGGCCGGCCGCGAGAGTCGCGAGTTTCTTCGCCGCGCCATTAAAGGTCTTACCCCCGCTTCGCGCTCGCTCCTTGAAGTTCTTCTCCGTGATGGGCATTAAACGCGAGTTCCGCGTCTAGAAACTATCGCTTTATATAGAAGTCCGGGGTCTCTATTAGCGGCCAAACAATGGCAGATCTACACAATCGGACACGCGGAGAAATCAGGACTCTTTTTGTAATCGTGATGGCAAATTCCGCGCACCGGCACGGAATATTCATGTCCGCGATCGTTTTCGTTGCCCATCTATTTACTACTCCCCCTTTTCCATCTATAAACTCTAGTTGGAGACAATCTAAATTAGACGTATTGAACATCCGGCCAACAGGTGGTTGCATTCTGAGAGGATGTATCTATTTCGTGAGAGAAATTTCGTATTTTATTTACGTATTATTGAGAAGAAAAACATTTACATACATTTTTGTTTAATTTTAGATATATTTAGATAATGTATATTATGAAATTTATTTATATTTATGACGATTGATTAATGCAGAGTGAGTTTGACGCGTGTTCCACCCGCGCGCTACTCACGCCGCTCGATTTCATTCACTCGTAAAGTGAACCGATTTGAGTGGCTATATATTTATCATAATTACGCGCGTAGCCGCCCAACGCTGATAACGGCGCACTGTCGACAATAAATCCAGCGACAATTAGCGACGTTAAACAGTGCGCTCGACTCCGGTTTCAAAGATAATGACTCGTTTCTCACCCCCGTTTCCTCGCGAGCGCTGCAGCTACTGGGAAAGTCTCCCGACATCTCGGAAGTAACAGTATCAGTTTTTACAAGGCCGTCTCGTTCGCCGGTTGCCCTCTGGGGGCACCAAAGGCCGCGGTACTCGCTATAGCGTGTCTCAAAAGTCACGATCCCAGGCTTGACGCTAGTCTAGTTGAAATTTTTTTGATATAAAACAGATGATAATACATATATCAGAGAGGATGTCTTATCTTTGAGGTGATAATAATAATCCCTGAATTCGGGTCTTTAAAAGCCTCTCGCTTTCGAACGAATTTTATCTAATCGGTTTAAAGCCCGTCACTCGCCACGCGTGTGCATTTCAGAAATACAATCGTGTAACGTACGTAAATCGCGGCGACGCATAATTTAGCACACGTTCGCAAGAAAATGACGATGCAACTCGCCAGCGAGTCCTTTTTTTTATTGTTCGCGCAAAGATTACTGAGGAATGCGGCACTCGTATGCAGCTCGATGCAGAGATGCTTATCGTATATGTTATAGCTTGACTTTTCAGAATAGCTGCGAGTATGTCGCAACAAAGATTCCATTTTCGAGCAAAGGCTATCGCTTTGCTATTTTTGTGACGCGTAGGCTCCAAAAATATTATTAAGCGCCAGGCACCGCTTAATTTCTATAGAGAGGTCCGCGGGTTATCGGCAGCTGAAAGTTTCCGATACGAAAAACTCATGTCAAATGTCAATAAAATTGATGCGAACGTGAAGCGTTCGAGAAATCACGTCGAGGCCGATAGAGATTTGATAGAGAACGAGCCCGACGTGACTTTTTTTTTTTTAATCAGTCGTGTCTTATCTCCTCGAGATGATCTAGGAAAACAGAAGAGAACGATAATGCGAACGCGTGTCGAACGAGCGAAATTTAAAATACACTCGAGTATACGAAAAACCTGAAATTTTACGACTCTGTCCGATCGTGCTTTCGTCAAAGTCGAAACTATCTCTAGTCTGTTTGCGTACGTTTACGTGTAAATATTGAACGACGTATGTTAGGCTCGTGATGCAAGACGAACGGAATCTCGAGAGAAAATTCTGTAAAATTACTTAGAAGTTTTTCACGGTATTATCTGAAAGATACGTGCGTTATCGAGAAACAGTCCAGCGTTTCACATCTGTCTCTGAAAAATGTAGTCGTTTATTCCTTCTGAAAACGAAACAATATTTTGGAAGAAGCAGCCACACTTCATACACATTCATGTTAGAGACATATGCCAGGTAGTTTCTATCCATTATATCAATTTTGCAATTTATTTTCTATTTTAATAAAAAAAATTGATTCCATTTAATTTAAAGTGTAAATCGTATGTGAGAAATTTCAAATAACATTCAATAATTAGCACATATGCAGCTGTATCAGTCGTGAGAACTAACTTATATTAAACACACTCAGATATAACACTTGCGAAAAAAAACAGCACAAAACATGTATATCACGTTTCCTTTAAATAATTTTTACATAAATCTCTCGTTTTTATTATCAACGACGATTATTATCTGATCGATCTACATATACCTACGGAATCTTTCCTCGAGATTCATCATTGTCCGGAAGCAGAAAATTTTCCGTCGGTGCATCCTGTGCACGTAATGTATACAATAGAACATTTTACGTTTGGTATGGGAATATTAGACGCTGGTTTCTTTTCGCTTGTTACCTGGGCATTGTACCCACAATATATTACTCGAGCGGCGCGTACAAGCGCTGTGTGGGATAACGCGCGCATTATGTTTAAAGGCAGATGTAGAGCGAGAAGAACGAGAGAACGTTGTTGCGCGGATCGAAATGCTGAGAATCCTAATGAACGCGTCGTATCGAGTAACATTAATGAGCCGAATGAAATCAGGTCGAGGATGCAGTAAGCGTTAGGTAAGGATTCGAGATATGAAACTTTTCGCGAGGTGGCAACGTTTCTCGATCTTCCAGAGCAAGTTGAACGCACGAGGAAGTGAGTGAGTCGGCAAAAGTAGTACGAGCTGAAAGAAGTGAAAAATGCATTCTATCTCGAGCGAAAATTTCTTGCGACGGGCGGAAGGTTAAAGCTGCGGTCGCGATGGCTGACCATGTGGGTCGCGACCCACAAGATTTTTTTTTTTTTTTTCTAAACGGCACGGAGCGCCGAAGGCGTCGCTGGAGAACCCGGGAGAAAGTGCGACCGGCCATTTTCTAATTGACCGCATCCGCCGGAAAAAAATAGAGTTTACCTCGTTGAACGACACCGCGTCATTCCGCGTCGATTAGTATGGCCCATAGATTCTCGGCTAATGACTCGCGAAGAAACCCGCGCGAACTTAATGCGCTTTTCCACGTCATCCTTTCTATGCAAATTGAATTTTCACTCGCGCGCGAGTCCGCGCGAGCCCGCGCGAGTCCGCGCTATCGTACGGATCTTTTTGCGTTCCGCTCGCCGGTCGGATCACGCTCGGCGGATTTGCTTTTATTTTTCGAATGAAAGTCCCGCCATGAAAAAGGACGTTTCCAATAATACTTTCTGGCGCGACTCTCTCTCGATATTAGCGTTCGTCGTTCTAAAAGAACTTGAACTTTATCGTAATCATTGAATCGTTTTTTTTCATCGTATCGGAGAATTGGAATGTACATCCGCTATTCTACATTATCTGTTAAATTTAAACCTTTTAATTATTTAATTATTTAATAAACATTTAATACAATAAATTTTAATTTAATTTGTATTTTAATGGAGTTCTAATGGACCTCTGAATAACGGTTAAATTTTCGCTAAAGCGAAATGGACTCCGATTTCGCTATACCTAGGCGAGAGAGAAACGCGACGCGACTTTTGATGCGCTCGGTACCGCGCTTCGGATGGGCGCACCATCGATCCGTCGGCCGACCGGATCTACCATAGGCGAGGCAGAGATTGAATTAACAGCGATACTAATTGGCCATCGGCACCGTCGATGGGTGGCCAGCAGCTGCAGCTACAGCGGCAGCGAGAGACGCGATTGTCTCGTTGACGGTGGGGGAGTTTCACCTTGAAACGTTATGCAACTCCGCCGCCTTAACCGTATGCATCAGCCGTACGAATATATACGCCGGGATTAGATGCACGCCGGCACACAATGCCGCGCCTGTGGCCTGTACATACGTGTTTAACGGCCGTCTAATGGTGCCAGTG